CCGACCTTATCCATAAGGTACGATATGCGGCGATACGGAAAATTGTTATCTTATCCATAATCACTTGGATACGATAATAGATTTTATTCGCTTTCCAAATTCGAATAATCGGCTCTCCGTTGATATCTATAACCCTATAGATATGACCGTTAGCTCGATTATCTTTCCTAATTCAAATTTGATAAGAAGAATCTTGCATATTGCGTGGATTGTTTGAATGCGGTTGTTATCTTTGTTTGATTGCTTTCTTTTTTTTTTAATAAAAAAATCCAAAAATATGTTTGTTAGGATTTAGATTAGGAGTTTTGCATGTTTAGGAAATCCTAAATGTATCTAGAAGATAGATAATTATTTAATTTATATCGGGACTTAAGATAATTTATTTCCTAGTTTAAATTAGGTGTTATTCTACTCCTAATAGATTGTTTAGGTTATTTTTAGATTCCGAATTTCCATGAAAACACCCAAAAGAAGTCACTTTAGCATAGGTTAAATTACGTTTTCTAAAATTGATTGCATGTTAATTTAGGAATTTTTTTAATTCCGAATTTCATTGGAAAATTACCAAAAATAAATCATTTGCCCGTCATTAGAAATAGGTCATATTGTCGCATGCTAGGTCGCATTAATCGCATGTCATTTTTTGCACGTCATTACATATAGGTTAGTTTTCATTTTAATAAAGCGCAAACCCTAAAGAACACTTTGAGTGCCTTGCTTTGTTAATTAGAAATCATATTAGAATTGTCTGTGTGATTTTCTACTAACAATGCAGACGCTTGCGTTGCTTTAAGGTACGTCATTCTCCCAATCTTGCAATCTATTTACTGTTTTCTTGGGTCTTAAATTGGTGGTTTGCGCACCCGTATGAACACTTTACATGTTAGTGATTAGGTAATAAAATGGATCCAGACTGCATGCGTAAATATTTTTTTTTAAAAAGAAAAAGTACCGAAAGGGCGTTAGACTAGACCTAGCGTAATCAAGTCCCCGAGCTTAGAATCTCTAGTTCGTAGGAATAAAACATATCTCCCTATATTTTATTAAGGTTTCTAATCGACCTACCACAAATAGATTAGTGGCGACTCCAAGCATGAAAACTTTTGCACGTTGAAAACTTAAACCCTAAGTCACGAATTGGTAGGGCTTAGGAGGGCCCGAGTTAGGCTTAGTCTTAATAATCCATTTGCTTGAGAAATTTAGGTCGCGACAATCTCTTAATTATTTAGGGATAATTTACATTTCCATGATCTAATAGCCAATCATTCATAATTGACTAGATCATTGATCGAAGTAATATCCAAATACCAAATCTGGTCTCTATATAACCTTCGTGAAGGGATTTTTAAATAAGTCGGATGTGTTCTTGTGTCGCTTTCTTTTTTCCCTTAAACATTTATAGCTATTTCAATATAGGACAAAGCGACCAACTTCGACTCTGAAAATTCTGGTAAGAATAAACCATGTTAAAAACTTATCAAAAAAGACCGCATCGTTCTTTTACTCTCTCGAGTGTTTTTTTTTTTTATATATATGTGTCTAAAGTAACTTTAGGCCTAGCGGTAACGAGATTAAGATATATGAGTTATGAAAACAAATGAAGAATCATGAGAAATTTCTCAAGAGGGTACATTATTACGCTATTATCAAATCCATGGTCATCTCTTGACCATTGACATTCATTTAGGTTGGGAGTCAAGGTCCCCGCACGATGTACGGAACTTCTTTTTGCAATTAAACGAACTTAAAAGGCATCGGGTAAAGTTTGGCGTTTTCTGTTTGTCATTACTTTTGGGTAGAATTAAGAATGCTTAGATTCTAAATAGGACTGTTTCACAGGGTTCCGTTCCCTCATGATGATGCCCCCTCGATGCGGGGAGAGGCGCCTCCCCCGTTTTGCAGTGCTTTGGATGCCTGTGCTCGACATAAACAAAGGAGCAAAGGCTTTGGGGATCTTTTTCTTCTTTTCTTTCTAGGGTTTCCTGAGTCGCTCTTGTTCTCGTCTCCATGTTACTATCCAAGTGCGATGGGTGCCCACATGTCGTTTGCTAAGATATTGAATGAGAGAGGCTTGCAAGTGAAGAGTCTAAGCAAATCATCATCAAGAGTCTGAGCAAATCATCTCCGAGAATAATTGAAGTGTTGTGGTTCGAAAGAAGCACGAAATTGTACGAGAGAGCGTGCGAAAAAGCACCATTAGGTGCTAGCTTTTTATTTGATGGAACAATATTTTTCACATTTCTTCTTCCCCCCATCCCTTCTCTCTTGTGGGAACAAACGTATGGACCCAACAAGAAGGTTAAAGAAAAAAAAATGTGTACAAATGTAGGGAATTCCGATGATGATAAATGAGATTATCGTCAATTCAAACACTGTCCATTGTTCCTGGGGGTGGGGTGGCATCGAACAACCAGTGCAGGCAGCATGTGAATGAGATTCTAGCGATACCAAAAGAATTACTAGTTTAATTCTGCGGACTTCTCCAAATGGACAGGAAGTAATTCGGTACGGTTCAACACTAATTTCTCGACCTCGATGGCGTTCGTTCATTAGTTCGAGATCACTAGAATATCTTGAGATAAAAGGAAAAAATAAGTTATTGTCATCCCAATTAATTCAAGAGTTCTAGTTGTTGGATTAGGAAAATGCATTAGATATCCCTAGAGTATAATGCTATCCCATCGTGTGATGTATTTTCTCACATCCGGCAAAATAATAGCTCGATGATTAACTTTGGCGGACAAAGCTAAGCAATGAAAGGATGATTCGTCGAAATGTAATTTTTTTTCTTTCTGGTTAGGTTTGGGTACTATCAAGATTGGCCTTACATCACTTTTCCAGATACCAATACAATATTAAAAGATCATCAATTTGATTTTGATTAATAATGAAAACTTGAATAAAAATAAACCTCGTTTAAAAAGTGTCAAGAGAGCACATTATGCTATTTATTATCAAGGGTGTTTATTCCTTTTCGTAAGATTAAAATGGATGAGTTTCGAAAATAAATCGAGAGGGCACATGGCATTATTGCACTCTTCACTATTCGAATCGATTTTGTTTAAAAAACAAGAATAAGAATATAGTATAGGGAAAATGACACAGACGGTCCCTGAACTTCGATCCAACGTGCAATGTGATTCCTGAACTTTTAATTTATTCAATATAGTCCATGAACTTTAACCAAATGTGCAATGTAGTCCTTGAACTTTTAATTTGTTCAATATCATCCCTGAACTTTTGGTACATGTTCAATTTAGTTCATGAACTATATGAAAATGTTCAATGTACATTGAACATTTTCATATAGTTCATGGACTATAACGAACATGTACCAAAAGTCCATGGACCACATTAAACGTTAGACTAAAGTTCAGAAATTATATTGAACAAATTAAAAGTTCAGGGACCCTATTGCATATTAGGTCAGGGACTCGTCTGTTGACTGTTCAATTTTGTTCTCTTTTTGAATGACAGGGTATCTTTGACTCCTAAGTTTTATACCAACGCACACGTGATCTTGGCTAAGGGTGTCAACGGTTCGGTTCGGTTTGAGTGTCTAGGAAAATCGAACCGAACCGTTTAGACGTGTGCTCGATCCAAACCGAAACACCACACGAACCGAATATGATCCGAACCGAAAACGCGGTTCGGTTCGGATCAGTTCGGTTCGGTTTTCGATTTTTCCTTTTTATCTTTTTTTGCACTTCTTCCCTTCCTCCTCCTCGTCTTCTTCTTCCGTGCTTGCGGTCTGGCATGGCCAGAGGAGGCATATGATGAGGACATGTACGGCATGGTGGTGACTTCACTGGACGTGTAGGCGGCGAGCTACTGCAAGGCGGCGAAGGTATGGCAAAGGTGGGGCCGCCGTGTTGAACTCACCACAACAACCGCCACCGTCTCCTGCAAGTGAACTCCCATCAAAATGAGTTGCGATGAGGTTGCATGCTTTCCCGGGATGGAGATGGAATTCGAGTTGATGACGTGTTGATGGGCGTGCTTCTGGGGTACTATTTTGGTCGATGTCAGCTTTGGGAGCACGTGATTTATGATTATCATTGAGTGGTCTGAATAAATTTAGGGTTGTGTTATGTAGTTAATTTTAATAATTTATTTGTGGCTTTCCGATTAACAGTTTTTGTCCTAGCCTGTTTATTTGATTGTTATGAACAATATTTGATTTTCACGGTCATGTGTTTTGGTGTGACTTTTTCAGATTCTCTGGACTCTGACTTCTACAAATTTGAGCATCAGTTCGATATTTCTCCCCTAGCCCATTACTTTGGCCAATACTTAAAAGTATTGAAGACTATCGGTCTCCTACGCTGCTACTGGTTTAATGTCATACTTCTTTTGAGATTTTGTATTCTCTGAATATTTGAATCTTCGAGTTACTTCCGAAGAAATAATTTGCACTTTACATGTCTTTAATATCTAAGGTTTTATAAGTTTTTCCCCTTAACTTGGTTACGATCGTGCATTGGCATTCAATCTCCAAGTTCGGTAGCAAAGTAGGTGAGAGAGTCCGCCTCAAAAAAATTGACTGAATGATTAAGCGTCTTGATTTGAATGCTTGCAAATTACAGTGTTTTCCACTCGTAGTAATCTCGGGATTCATCAACATCAACTTGTGATAAAACCTTGCCCAATACAAATGGACATGACCTTTTATGTGCATTCATGGAGAATAATCGAGTAAACAAAAATTTAATAAAGTGATGGTGCTTAGATTAAGAAGACCGTCTGTTCATCTAGACTGAGACAGCCTCACCATCCCTTCTCCATCTTTATGCAGAATGTAACCAAAAAGACCGAGCCCCTAACATTTCCCATATTTGGCGATAACAAGCAGAAGATTACCGATGCATAATAGCCAACTTCTGAACATACTTCGCTTCCAAAGGAGCGGCTATTCCAGACTCACACCAATCCACTTAAACAAAGTAACAATCATCTCGCCATTCCGGCCCCACATAGGTAGCAAAAAAATGTGGACTTGATGAGAAAAAGCCAGCGAATGATCTGCGGTATCTACAAAATGGTAGATGCCGTCGTATAAGAATGATGAGTTTCAAGGTTTTCTTACCAAAGATACAAGTACTAGCAGACCCCTATTATCTTGATGCTCCATGCTAGTTACATTCTAGATAGCATTCGGCTCCATCTTCTATATGCACTCCCCTACTCACTGATGGCCCGTGCCAAGACTTTCCATTTGAGGTTGTTTCCAGATGGTCATCAACAATGAAGTGTTTCAACTCGTTTCTCTCGTGTTGCACCCTCTCGATGATTTCCAAGCATAATCCGCTCTTGAGACTCTTGTTCGGCACTTTACCCTTACCCGGCTTCTTCTTCGGGCCTGGATCTATAAAAATTGGTTGAACCCTATCGGTTGGGTTTGGTTTTATTCTGTTCACTTCCCTCTCGTCCGGAGGCTTTAATATGCTGCTCCGTGATTCCATTTCTGAAACTTCATCTTCATTGAAAAGGACCTGCACCCATTCCACATCATGCTAGCTTAATTTAAAGATATGAAACTACTAATAAGAAAAGAACACATTGAACATCCGTGAATGATACTATTAGCAGTTTAAAAAACATGCAGCAAGCTTTCACTCTGATCATTGCAAGTAAAGATCATTGGTTTCACTTTCAGTAAGAACAGCTAATTTTCAGTGGACTTGAGATACATTTCTAACCTTGCCATCAGAACTCATCATTCACCAAGACGAAAAGCCACAAAAATGTGACAGTGTCGCTCTAAATCCTAAAAAACAGAGTATGATAATCTGAAGGGCTCTTACAAAATGTTAGTGCTGCTATGGAACCGGAACAGAATGGCGTAGGCACGGAACAATCGGACATTTTCGCTACATTTGTTTTTGGAAAGTCGGTGAGATTAAAGTCATGTGGAATTAGACAAACTCGTTAAAATTCCTACAGAGAATGTACTCACCTTGCGATCAACCAAAGCAAAGGTCATGACCACTTTGCTTCGTTTGGCCCGCTCAACTTCCTCAATCTTCCTTTCCGTCTATGCATCTTGCATGCCCTTTCTAGTGCACTAAGGTAAGCGCCATACAAAAATTACGCCATTTCTAGTGTCAATTTCCCGACCAGAAACTATAAATCCCAGCACCAAGCGCATACTGTTCATGCGCGGTGCTCAGTCCCAGGCGCAGCCACTTCAAGGGGCACGTGCAGCTCACCCCGATGTCCGGTTGAAACACGGTTTTCACCGTTGAACTTAGCACAGTTAGCTATACACTACCTCAATTTTTCGTAATTTTTAAATAAAAAGTTTATATTCGCTGATATATGGAATTTGTGAGAAATTACTGAAAAATGAAGACATGGTTCTGTACTTTTTAAAAGTTCTATGAAATCAGAGGGTTGTTCCTTTTAGCTCGTGATCCTTAACCTTATGAAAATTTTAGTTCTCTGGAAACGTAGAAGGGGATTACTCGATAAAAAGAAAATATTTTCAGCTTCATTTAACAAATAACAGAGAAATTGTAGATTAAGTATGACAAGTCTCGATTTATAGACATTGAGCTTAGTTTAAGACTTAGGCCGAGTCCATCGACCCGCTTTCATAATTCTCACCGAGAAGGGCCCATTTGGCCCAAAAGACACAATTTTATATTTTTGAGGGTATATTTCCGATATTTGGCTAAAATATTTATGATTAGGAGCAGAAGGAAATCCATTATTTTTTTTTATCAAAGAAACATTTTATTCATTTCTACGAATATACAATAGAGATACGCAGTCCAACTGCAAACCAAAACAGCAAAACAAATTCTAGATAAGAAGATAAATTATCAGAACAAGGTATGGGTCACACGCTCAAAGAGCAGATCTGGCATTTCTTCAAATCAAAATCGGCAGCCAATGACCAAACTCATCTTCAGTAATTAGCACACACATCGAGATCTCCATATGTTGTTCCGACTTTGCCTTTCAACGGTGCACGCCTAGGTTCAGCATCCCTAACACCGTCGCTGTGTAGGGTAGCCAGGTTGAACGTGAACAGATCTGACACATGTAAAAGCGAAACCTTCACAAAGCTCCTCTGATCTCATTCAAAACTAGACTTGTACACCAATGAAACCCCAAGAAAGCGAAATCCCAAAATCATATACGCAAAAAAAACCCCAAATCTAGACTAGATCGAAATAGAAACCTCCCCGAAACGGGAAAGAGAAACTTCTAGATTTAGACTAGATTAGTTTGCAGTCCTTTTTTTTAGAGGAAATTTGAGACAAATGGCTTTTTATCACTTGTATTGTATGCTTTTATAAACGTGCATGACTTTTCAAGTAAATTAAATATTTTCGGCATACATAAGAAAAAAAAAAGATTTTACGGCCTGAGCCGTCACCCAGTCCATCACAAGCCACCGTGTTGGCGCCGCGACCCTTGCCTAGGGTCTGATAGGGGTCACCGGCCCTTGCTTAGGGGTCGACGGCCCGTTCACCCTATGTAAAAAAAGGAAAAAAAATAAAAAAAAAATTCAGAATATTTTTTTTAAAAAATTTAAAAAATTATCAACGTCAGCACGGCCGTGCCACAAAGGACGGCCAGATCTGACTAGACCGTCACGTCAGCGATATCCGGCCAAAATTAGCATGAATAAATAAATTGACAATTAGTCAAAAGGTTTAGGACTATAAATTAGCACAATTGAAAGGTTTATGACTGAATTGACACGATTAAAAAGTTTAGAACTGAATTGGTCACCGTACAATAGATTTAGTTCTTTTTTGACAATTTTCCCGTCCGATCCGCTATGCTATGATACGTATACCGACAGGGACTTTACCGTGCTCGGGGCATATTTGTTTTGTAAGGGTGTATCCACGACTTTTCAAACCTGCCGGTTCGTGGGGGATGTAGATTCCCGTTCCCCCTCCTCACACCAGCACCCATCACTTGCAGCCTGAAAATGATTGGCTAGAAATCCCATTTGAATGGCCTTCTTGACTTTTAGTTATTCTTTTTGATGGAGTGGAAAAGTTGCCCCCTTCAGTCTTCGATTCACGCGGGAACGATCAGTTGCGCATGTTGATTTTTCAAGGCAGTCACTTTCTTCTTTCCTCAATAATATCATCAATAATAGCATCGTGAACTTTGTTACTCCTAAATCTACGTAAACATCACATGCCACATAAATACTTGAGCCCCGTAAAAATAATATTAATTGGTTTGGATACTTTTCATACTCTTCTTTAGCACATTCAAGATAATGTCATTTATCCTTTTTTTTAATATTTTTATAATTGGGAGACACGGACGTGAAGACTCGGTTATTTGGAAATCCATTGGAGCCTTATGAACCGATTGAGTCCAGACTTTTGACCCGTATAAGCGATCCAAAACAAATTGCACGCAATTAGTGGGAATTAAAAAACGTGTCGTTTTTTCTCTGGCAGTAACAAAAAACAAAATCTAATGTGATAAATGTTATAAACACAAGTCTCGTCGGTTCCACTTGTTTTGCCAAGAGCGAGCGCAACAATGAAGATGATAACAGTATCGCATGTACATAGAAATCTATAAACCAATCATCCAGATGACGAAGTAAATATCTGTGATAATAAATTTCTTAAAAATAATAGCAATATTTTCAAATAAATAAAACTAGAAAATAACCCCACGGGAACATAAAACTACATGAAAGTACGATAAAATCACATTCCCACAATTCAGACTGAAGTTGGATTATATCTTAATTTATTGAACTAAATTGATTGTGCTTGATAGCTAGCATTTAGAATGAAATGAATTGTCACGCTCTTTGGTACTAAAGAATGAATTTGGTTTGTCAAGCAATGCCGGAACACTAATACAAACTAACTTGGCCAGATTGTTATCTGCCTGTCGAAATGAGAAAAAGATAACACAATTTTGCTCATCATTTGTTAATCCATGAATTTAACGGTAAACATTTTCTTATACTGCCAGTGTTGATCAGATTTCTTCTTTGGGATATTCACTAAATACCGATACACAATGAGAATGGGCCATCACGTCGAGAAAACGTCCTATGATATTTTGAAGTTGACAAAATCATCAATTTCTCATTATTACTTGATAAATGCAGATAAGAATATTACTTCACCGTCTAGGGTCGCCCGACCTCAGGCAACGGCCGCTGGCGCTAGATTTGACTCACCTTGCGACCCTAGCCCTTCGCCGGAGCCGGCGAAGGGTTTGCTTTTTTTTCAATAAAAAAATAAACCCAAAAGCCCTTTGCAAAAAAAAAAAATTGCCAAACAATACTTGGGCCAAAATAGCTCTACAAAAGACTTTTTACCAAACGCAATTTGCATTTTCCCAAAGGGGTTTTAAGTTAAAGGCATTTGCATTTCCCCAAAGCCCATTTATAAAGCCAAAAAGCCACGGGCCTAGAATTTCGGAAATGATAAACGAAGGAGAATCCTATCAATTGACAATCACTTTGGTGAAAACGATTATTTTTTAATATAGACAACTCTATTCGTGGAAGCTACACCACTCTAGGAATATTTAATTGTATGGGCGACCAGATCTCTGAATGATTATGGTGATCATCTTCAATTGCTAAATTGATCATTTTGAAGATTATCCAATAACTATTTTGGAGATTGAAAGCCATATAAGAATATTAACGCATGCTGAAGAAAAGATCACAAGAACAACTACGAACTGAGAAAGCTTGATACTTTAACACTTTTATTGTGTTGTTGAGCAAGAAATTCATTTACTTATCCCTGATTGTAATCTTGTTTGAGAAGTATACGAGTGTTGTAGTAGTGCTTGAATTTGGTAGTGTGATCTACCGATTTTGGGTGGAAGCAACACGGTCTATGTTGTAACTACTCAAAGGACTATTAGTGGATTTCAGCCTGATGAGGGTTATCATCAACTGTTTTTTTTTTAAATGATGGAGCATTTTTTCGGAGAGGTAACTCCTGCATATGGATAGGCCAGAATTTAATAATCAATCAGGTTTTAGACCGACAAAGAGTTAACCTCCGGTTTGACATTAAAAAAAATGCGATTCTTTTGACCCTCGCCCAGGCCGTAAGGATCGAGCCCTCGCTAGATCCAACTAGAGCCACCCTCACCTGCGATGACATGGCGAAGCTGAGCCTCACCTAGAGATGGCAAGGCCAGCCTCGCCAATGGCTGGCCAGGGTCTTGCCTCTAGCCGGTCGCCACCGAGGAAGAAGGAAGGGAGGAAGGGAAAAAAATAAAGAAAAAGAAAAAAAAAAAAAGGAAAAAAAATTCAAAAAATAAATATTATTAAAAAATGTCAATGTCAACGCTGGCCGCGCCACGTAGGACAGCTGGCATCCATGTGATCGCCAGCTTGCTAAAATTGGCCGGACGAACTAAATTGGCACAGTCGCAAAAGGTTTACGACTCAATTGGCAAAAAAAAGTTTATGACCGAATTGAAATAATTGCAATAGGTATAAGACTTTTTTTGGTAATTCTCCCATTGTACTCGTGATAATGACCTTTCAATGGCAACATGATCCAAAACAGAACTTACACTCGTCTCTTGATCTTCGTCGCCCATCTCTTACGTAAACCTCGTCAAGCTCAGTTGATAATGAAATTATACATTTTCCTTTTAATATCTAATAAATATTTTGAATTACCCATTTGTAATGTGAAATACATGAAAGATTCTTCAAATTATACACACTAAAAATATTATTTTTAAAAGGATGTTATATGAGATGTTTACTCAAATAGGTAAAAGATCTAAACATCACAACCAATTTGTTCAAACTAATCAATAATCTTACACTAGAAAATAATCCATAGAAAACCCGCGCATTGCGAGGGCTATAATTCTAGTTCATTAAGATAATTCATACATTGGATATCTTAACCTTTAGGATGTAGTTCCATATGGACATAGTTGTCGGCACGATATTTAACCGCATGTCCAAGCCATTTCGATATCATGATTTAGAAATAATTCAACTAGCTGAAATCTGTGAATAAGTTGATAATAACCGA